TAATATCTACCTGTCCATATATCCATGTTTTTGCACCTCAAGATTCCTCAGTGAATAAATTACAACATATATCGATGGTAATAATACCTGACAGGTTTACAGCACCAGCCAACGAAAAGTCATTATTTAATACTCCTGTATCAATTACTCATACCCAATAAATACACTGACCTTAACAGATACTATTTCGAATAATTAATATTTTCCCGGGCAAAAAAAAAATTGTAATCGAAATATTTTTTCCAAATTTTCAAAAAATTTCTGGAAAACTTTTCAGAAAATTTTTCTTTTAAAACAAAAAAAAATGTGGGAAACAAAATAATTGGATTTTTGGGGAATATTTTGGAAAATTTTTCAAAAGCTTGTTTCGGAAATTTTTTTTTGTAATTTTCGAGAAATTTTTGCGAATACAATTTTTTTTTTTTGATTTTTCAATATTCTCAAAAAAAACGACATTTAAATTATGAAAACAAATTTCCTATTCAAATTTTTGAAAAATTTCTCAAAACCTTTCCAAACAATAAAATTGTTTTGTTTTCCGACTTATTGTTCCATAAAAAAAAATTCCTAAAAATTTCCCAGAAATTTTTCGAAAATTTGTAAAAAATTCCGATTCCCTTTTTTTTTTACCCGTGTTACTTTATAAAATAATAAACTATGTTTCGCGACACGTTTTTCAATTCCACTTTTCGTAATGGTTTCCCGGTACTTTGGTGATTGGTAAATACATTATTGAGGCCACGTACCGAAAATAAAAATGGCGATTGGCGATAAAAAAAAAAAAGAATTAGCCTGTGCACAAGTCCATAAAATAAGGGCGTAGCCCTTGAAAAAGAGGACAGGTAATGATAGAAAGACTAGACTGATAATGACGCCTCTGTTTGCACATCGGTAAAAGCAATGTCGGACTATAATACTGGGCCTACCACTAGAACGCGATTCATCCGAGTTTTTAATTAATGCTTTCCTCGTTCATCCGATACCCACCATTTCTAATGCAGTGAGTATACATGCGACATACCCATCTCATTTTGTATTCCCAAACAAAAGCATTGGCTTTCCACTACAATTTTCTTTTCCTCTGTTGTACTTTCGATTTGTTTCCAATGTTCCTCATACATCTTCGACAATGTCCTGTAGATGGTTGAGAATAGCATTTCTCTTTTCACCTGCACTTCCTCTCCAACTTCCCATTTTCCTTCCTTCGGGCACAGGTCGTGTGTGCAAGTGAGAAAAATTATTGAGCCACCGGGAGCGACTATTCTAAAGGGTTTCACCCCGTCCTACAATAGTCCTCCCACACCCAGTTCTATCTTGAATAGTTTAATATATATATACATAGGATGTATATTATATACAGACATGGGCGACTGTCCACAACAGGTGAGATATCGTCATGGAAATTTTTAAATTTATTCTACTTGATTTTAGGAAACTCGCGGTCAAAAGCGGGAGGATAATTTACCCGCGGATATTAGATTTGCAGATTTACGAGCTCTGACTTTTCGCGGATAGGTTTTTGCGGGGTTTATCTTGGATAAAGATTAAATTTGGGATGGAATTCTATGGATTTTTGCTAGGCTAGACGAAGTGACGAAAATTTAATCCCTAACAAATCGCATTGAATTTTTTTATTAATGATTAATAAATAATAATTTCATGTTAACAAGAATGAGTGGAAAAATGACAAAAATAATGGCTTTGATTTTGTTTAGTAATTCAACAAGGGCTGAATTAGATTGATTCCCTGAGGTGTGAATGTTGACCCATGTCTTTAATCGACCTGAAAACCTGATTATGCAAGATCAGGAATTTACTCGTTGACGTTCAATCTTCATTTTCATGGTAGCTTACGAGAGAGGTAGAGTTCTGGTCTGGTCATTGGGTAATCGTCAGAGTGGATGGAATTGCGGAGGAAATAAACGGAGTAGAATGAGAGTAGAGAAGTGAGATGAAAAGAAATCGAGGATAAATAAAAGGCAAATGAGAAAATTCTTCGATTTGGGTGAGAATCGAAGAATTCCCAATAACATTCCCGACCAACTTTTATCATTCTTAAATACGTCTGTCGGATTAGTTGGAGTTAGTGCCAGTTCGACAATAGGGGGGAATTGACTAACTTAGGTTGTGAAGAAAATTGAGTCAGGTGTTGGATTAACAAGAAATGGTGGACCAATCTGGGGTTAAAAGTTTTTTTCTACGGAAGTCTCCAATTTATCTGAGGAAGTATTTTATCCCTGGGATCATCGACAACGTGGTAAAATAAAAATCAATAAGTTGTAATGACTTGATCTGATTTTTATAAATTGAAAATTTCGGGAAATTATTTCGTGAATCGATTTTACTGCACTCTCTGTCATCGAAAATCACTGCTTATCAGCTCTGATAACCACCGCACTACTAATGCAAACCAGTTCCCTTATCTCTCTTCATTCCAACTTTTCTCCCTGATTTCATTCCTCTATCAGACTTCTCGTTAACGACACTGCAAAAGCTCTAACTGCTCGTATCGATTTCCCTCCATTAGCGGTTAAAGTTCCCCTCTGGTAGAAAGAAACTACGAGGATGAAAAAGTTCATGCAGCTTTATATCGAGAAATCCATGTCGTCGGTTCTGGACCGAAGGTGTGAAAAAAAAAAACAAAATTCCGCAAAAAGGAAAAAGCCCAACCCTAAAAGCGGCCCCAAAAAAACAAAATAAAAAATCAAACAAAAAATAACAAAAGGGAAATCAATTAACCAATAAGGAAAAGAATAAGGAAAAAATTAACGGGCGGTGTCATAATTTTTCAAATTTTTTCATAATTTTTCATATTTTTTCATAATTTTTCAAAATTTTTCATTCTGAAAATATTCAGGAAAAATTTCGAGTAGTCAATAATTGTTTAATGGTCAAATAAAAGAACTTTAGTTCATTAAATTAATAAATTATTAAATTCTTTTTTATCATATCTCCTAATCCTAGTAATCATTTCTGGAAATTTACTTTACTTTACCTCCAATTCACACCTCATTAACCTACTATTCGAAAAATTATATTTTCGACAAACGTCGAGTTTATCTGTTATCACATTTACGCTCATTGCGGCATGAGTTATACGATGCCTCCCGTCCACAATACGTGTTGAAAATAATTTATAACTGGAATGATTTATTCGCCCATTGTTGTTCGCATTCTCAACTGAATTCACGGGTAAAAAAAAAATTCTCATCGGAATATTTTTTCCAAATTTTCCAAAAATTTCTGGAAAACTTTTCAGAAATTTTTTTTATGAAACAAAAAAAAACGGAAAGCAGAACAATTTTATTTTTCGAAAAGTTTTTCGAATTTTTGCAGAATTTTTCAAAAATTTGAATAGAATATTTTTTTCATTATTTAAATGTCGTTTTTTTTGGGAATATTGAAAAATCAAATAGGAAAAAAATTATACTCCCAAAAATTTCTCGAAAATTATAAAAAAAAATTTCGGAAAGAATTTTTTGGAAAATTTTTCAAAACGTCCCAAAAATACAATTGCTTCGTTTCCCGATTATTTTTTGTTTCAAAAGAAAAATTTTCTGAAAAGTTTTCCAGAAATTTTTTTAAAAGTTGGAAAAAATATTACAATCACAATTTTTTTAACCCAGGTTGCAAACACGATCCACACACTTCCCAATTATAATTTCTCCTTTATTTTCAGTGATTATTCTCAATTTCGATGCCATAAAAAATGAAATAAATAATAAATATCGGGTATATATAATATTCCTTCGAGAATCGAATTCACGACCAGCAGTTGGCCATTGCCTTTCCGAGAACTTCATCTAATATGCGGCTAAAACATTCCCCTCATGCAAAATGTTATCTTAATCTAAACTGACAGCTATTTTTCATTCGAGATATACCATCCACCATCCAGTCAAACATTAAATAGTCTTTTCCTGTACTTGCAGATCCCGTGTTACTTGAATTTCCTCTTTGACCGTGGAATTCACGAAATTCACCACCAGGCAATTCATCACCCTGGGAAGCCGTCAGATATCATCTGAACACCGGAAGTATGTAACTTGAAGAAAATACAGCACCAGCTAACACCACGTGCCCGACGAAATATGCAAGAAAGGTCAAGATTAATTAAGCTTTTTAATTTAGAACGAAACTCAAGGCTCACGCGAAGCAATAAGTAATTGATTAAGATGATTAAGTCACCATATAAATCATAATCCAAATTATTCCATCAAATAAATATATTAACACCAAAAAATCCCCATTTCACACGTAAAAATTGTTTAAAAAAATTGTCAACAAGTGAAATTTTTGCTGGGTATAACAATAAATTGAATGAGATTTACAAATAAACAAAAGCCTTTTATTTACATTCCTTTTGCTCTCAGTGGTCCTGACACAATTTTTTATTAACTTGATTTCCATAATTATAATTTACTTACATCACGTAATACAAACATTTTCTATTTTACCGAATGTTTACAATGCACTGTAACAAAGCTCCCAACATTGCACCCATTGAATTGTTAAATAAAAAATCTTTTCTTTAATATTCGACAAAAATGGAGTACACTCCTCGCGATTGATGAGAAAAGCGCAAATAAATGAGAAGTCCCTTGTCATTCAGTCCAACTCAATCTAAATCGATCTAAATTACAGTTCCATCCCTACCCCTTATTTTCGGGATGATACCATACCGAGTTAATTAATTAAAACTTAATAACTAGAAAAGCAAATTCCGATAATAAAGCTGTTTTATTATTCCCGTTATATACTGTCGTGTAATTAACTGAGAGATGACAAATTATCGGCTAGAAATTTTGATTAGGGTAATTGACGTTTTTTGACTGAAGGAATATAATTATTTAACATGAGTTGACACAATTTTATTGATTATTAAAAGTGTTGAGTCAGTGAGAATGCATTTTCCATTTTGTGTCGGGAGTCTGAAGAGTCTCTGCCTGCACTTTCAGCTTTCGATATTCACTACACAAAGAGAAATAACAAATTAGCTTTAGATTAATTAACATTAACTTGTTTTTATTTCGTAGAAACTTTCTCTTGAAAATTATCTGCAATGTCGCATCGCATTAAGGTTTTACTACTGTCCAGCGTGTCATTAAATTCAGTAACAAGTGCCACTCAAATTTCTTATATATATTTGTATATATATACAATTTATGTGTATGTATACATAATGTCGTGTTTTCTGGGACCATCGAGTCGGGTTTATTCTCCTCTCGTCCTAAAGTATCTCAAAACGACCAATATTCCCTCAACGTAACTTCCTGGGCAATATTTTTCTATTATCCCAGGGGTGCCATTGAATTCTTTTTACAAAATCGTTATAATCGTTTAATCTGGATGAACCTCTATTCGATGAGACTAATCCAATGGAGATCGATTGCACATACAGGATCGATTGCAGCGATAACGATAGCGACCAGTAAAAATTCCCAGAAATCAATCGCCATCTCATAATTTTTCACGAAAAATCCCGGGAAAAATTACGAAATCAAATATTTATCACCGTGCACTCGAGGTTCATAATAAAATTTCATGCATCTTCCGAGAAAATTCGGTAATAATCCCGCGAAATTTTCCTCGTAACCATTTTCCACTCCGGAGAAGGTGCGTCATTTTTATTAAATACTTCTCTCTGCAATAATTCCCACCGCAATGATGCAGATTATGACGGGATGATAAATTCTCGAGAACTTATTATTTTTGGGACATTACTCTCGGGAATTCACATCACACCCAATGACGTTGAAGGACGGATATAATAGCCCAGAATTCAGGGCATAACGAATAACAGAGAAGATTTAGATAGAAAATTTAATTATTTTCGGAGTTATTTATCATTATCATTATGGCATTGTTTATTGAGTATTATTTGTAAAGTGTTATATTTCCAGAGACTGAAATTTGATCATAATTTCGATCGATGGACGTCCAGATTTGATGTCGATGTGGTATATTCCCATTTCAATTACATTGTTTACTCTTCCGTATCAACGTTCGTGGTTTTACGAAATTTGACTGACTTAAAACCGTATGTTGTAACATTTGACACCGAATGCCGGTTGTTCCAATTGAGGAAATAATCCCGTACACCTATTCCCCGAAATTCAACCGAATTAATTAGTGGCACTCTATAATCACTGCATTGTCTCCCGCAAATTTCCGGTACCAAAAAAGCCATTTGAACGGAAAATAATTGAAATGGTAATGGAATCGCGCACGGAGGTCGACAAATAATAAGAGAAAAAATAAATATTCGATATTATGTTAATTGTGCGCATCGATATTGCGGATAAATTATTTTTATTATTAATCTGGGGATTAATGAGTAAGTTGATTGATCTCGTGGGTATCGACTCCTCTGGCGGAATCTTTTATTAGAAATTTTTCAATCCCGGATTTCAGGCAGGGAAGTCGAGGCTGGGGAAACTCACGCCGATTTTTTTCGATAAGCATATGCTAGGGATTATACGCGGGTGAAATGGGAAGTGTTTACTGTTTTTTATATGTCTCTTGGTGCGACTGATAAATCATGTTACAAAGAATTATGACTGATTCCAATGGATTCTGATCCTAAAATCTTCGAATGACTCTGAAGTAGAATTCTAGATTTTTTTTTGTTTTATAAAAAAATTTTCTGAAAAGTTTTCCACAATTTTTTTTAATTTGGAAAAAAATATTCCGATTACAATTTTTTTTCACCCGGGTAAGTCAGTCTTGAATTGGCAGATAACACATTCCTTTTTAATCCAATCTTATTTTTCATTCTCTCTGAGTTACGTCTTCAGCATTTGTGTCACGAAATTCAAAGATGAAGGACTGTTCATCGGGTCTCCGAGGTTATTGACAGATATTGTCTTTTGTTGTAATGGATCGACACCTTTTGTATCGAGCCTTGACAAGTCCAACACAGAATGACCGTTCGACACTTTTTATGTCTCCTACATTTCCCTGTCGTAAGTACCATGAAAAAGAATTTAACATCGCGCTAACTATTTTTCCCCCGAGACATCCTCAACAAGATGTTGACTACCCCAAGGGTAATATCATCTTTACTCTCAAGACTTAATGTTTACAAATATTGACGCCGAGAATTACAACAAAATAAATTTGTCTTGAAACTTTCGAACTGATGATGTATTTTTAATAAAATTGCGAGAACAATTAATGACCAAAATAAAATAAATTCATAAATTCCTATCGTGAATATTGAAAGACTCTTAAAAATGATAAATAAGGAATTTATCAGTGGAAAGGAAAGAGGAAAGATAACCCGTGCCATAAATATCATGTGGATGATTAGTGAAAACTCCTCGGGGATATCCCAAGTAATTCCTGGGCTTTCCTGGGATTTTTCTCGGCTTCTCCTCTGGGAACGTACGACTACAATTCTCTCGACACTCCTGAGGAGACTCTGGATATTTTTCCTAACTGGAGCTCGATCGGTCCGTTTTTCAAGCCAAAAGGAGATAAACGGTCACACGAGCTCAAGACAATTTGACAATCAATGAACAAGTGCATTGAAACAATCGACACTATTGTCTGATTTTTCGGGTCCATTGGGTCACATCTTGGCTCCAGCGAGTGATCTCAGGGGTTGATTGGATGATTAGCACTTCTCCATAATTTTTAGAGGGCGGAAATAATTTTTCAATAGCGAAATCGGTTGGAAAATGTTGAAGTACGAGAAGAGACTATACAATATTGTATGAGCGTTCGATCGGCGATAATCTCCATGGGGTCACCTGGTGCCAGAATTTTTTGGCACCAGGTGCTACCCGAAGGACCAGAAGCTGTCGCACGACGTTCGATACTCAGTTTCATCATCCGATGTACGATATTTCATTCATTGGAGCGATGAACACTCCATACAGGTGGTCCCTGGTGTTGCTGCAATATAATAGACCGTTGTGTGTTTAACCGGTTTGCAAATTCCATCTGGTCCGGTTATTAATTGAAATTTGGCCGGAACGAAACGATCGATCAAACGTTAATTGATAATGACCCTATATGTCCCGGGTAAAAAAAATGGAATCGGAATAGTTTTTCCGAATTCTCAAAACTTTTTTGGAAAACTTTTCGGAAAATTTTTCTTTTGAAATAAAAAAACAATCGGAAACAAAACAATTGTATTTTTAGGAAATGGTTTGAAATAGTTTTTAAACATTTATTTCGGAAATTTTTTTTTATAATTTTCTAGAAATTTTTGCGAATATCATTTTTTTTTTAATTATACTGTTGTTTTCTTACTTTTTTTATTTTTTAATATTCTCAAAAAAAAACGCCATCTAAATTACAAAAAAAAAATTCCTATTCAGATTCTTGAAAAATTTTTCAAAACCTTTCCCAAAAATAAAACTGTTTTGTTTTCTGATATTTTTTTGTTTCATAAAAAAAATGTTCTGAAAAGTTTTCCAGAAATTTTTTAAAAATTTGGAAAAAACATTCCAATTACAATTTTTTTTTACCCGGGCCGCCACTGATAATGCAGTTATTAAATCCAGTTAGTCATTATTCTGTGAGTGCAATAAAATTTGCGTTGGAAAATCGCTGCCAGTAATTAGTTTTTTAATATTCGCAGTAACGAAACGTCAAGTGAATTTTTAGCGGAGTAATTAATCGTAGAAAAATTAATTCTTGTTAAAAAAATACTGAAATATGTGAATCTTCATATTTTTTTTAAATCTCTCGACGGAGGTTTTTTGAACATAATGGGGAAGTCCAGGGAAAAGGAGTTATTTGCTAATCCGTTGTGCTCGCAACTCGAGAGCGGTTTAATCCCAAACAAACGTAGAAATTTGAATAAAGAAAATCAGCTTTTGGAACTCTTCGTTTTTTTCCGTAAGGATTTTCCGGCTCGGTTGTATTTCAGTCTTCAAACGACGTTTTTCGGAAATAATCCTGGCTTCTCATGCAAATATTCAGAAAATATTTGAAATATTCATGCCTAAAAGAGCATGAAAAGAAAATATTGAACAATCCTTGTAAAGTCTGGTCTCCCTGTTTTCTCTTTAAACTAAGTAGCTCTGCCTCGGGTACTGATAACCATTCATTTTTAGGAGATAGTGTACTCGGAAATACCATGTTTATCATATTCCAACATCAACTCAGGGGAAAAGGGAAAAAGGGAAATCCCCGAGTTGATGTTTCATCTTTTCCATATTCAAAAGTTGATTTTTCATTTTGTTTGGTAATCAGAAAAATGTGGGATTCCCAAAATTAGTCATGCCCCTATGACTCTGAAATTTTCCATTGAGATCCTTCAATGGCGTTCCAACACTAATATAATTTCGTGAAATTTTCTTTTTCTCATGAATAAATAGTGTGAAATGGAGTATGAAGATGTGTGTACTGAGTGTTCCTTGGAATTTCTTGCGAAGACGTGCACAAAGGGCAGAGAAATATAAAAGTACAACGTAACTGACGAAACAATCAATAAACTCACATTTTTTTTTTTCATTGATGACATTTCACTGGGACTATTTGCTTTTATAAAAGTACATCTTCGACGTCGGTGAACTCGTTGATTGTGCGCTCCGTCGGATGAAATACAGGCGTCAATACTGGCCTTGATTCCAGTTGTATAGACTCTCTCGTTTGATTCGATCTTGATGCAAGACTCGATAAAAGACTCTCTTGTACCGTATCATTGCCATTGCACAGCTTTTCACTCCTGTAAGCCTCGGTTGTTCGTGGAGTGCTGTTTCTCGGTTTTATGAATGGTAGTACCTACAATGTGAAATTGTCAATAATAAAACGTGGAATAAAATTTCATTTCGTTGAATTAATTTGCATTCGTCATAAATTACGAATGCTGGGGTGATATGGATTATCCACATTCGAAATTATTCTTCACCTCCTAAAATTTCATACTTCAGATATAAATAAATAAATTTGTCAATTATTTTTCAACAATTTGAGGTTCGCTAGAAAGGAATAAAATGATTTTCAATATGTTAATGATTAAATTTTAAAAAAGTCACTTTGAACATTGAGGAAAATAATGAATATTTTATTTAAATAAATTTATAGTTTCGCCTGTTCAATTTCCTTGAGAAATTAATTAATAGTCAATTATTTATTTTCACTCTGGGAGTGTGTATTGTATGAGTAAAATATTTATATTGTCTGAACAGCTGGCCGGTGAATTAAATAGACAATTGTGCAAAATCCACGGAATTGTTTGATTTCAACTTATTTGTTTGTTGAATGTACTGGATGTACTGGGATATACTACTTTTTTAATGTTGAGAATGTTAATGGATAAATCTCGTCGAATGGTGGAAAAATAAACATTTTTCAATCGCCAGTATTCCGAATAATAAAGAGAATTTGACAGACTGTTTCATTCACTCCACTTTCAAAATGCATGTTCAAATAATTCGAAGTGTTTTTGCGTTTTTCCATTAACTCGAATAATATTGACAGTTTCAGAAGAAAAATATTGTGTCCTCATCAGTTTTTCTGAATGATTTCAATTTTTTCAACCTGATTTCAGGTAAATGGAGTTTTGTGACGAAATTAAAGGGAAAAAATTCAGTAAAAGCACTCGAGATGAGATTCAGGATGATCAATTCGACGTTGTTGCGAGCTCGTGGACGAATGGAGCGAAATTTTTATTGCAATTGCCACAAAAAATTTTATGACAGGTGTGATATACTGAGGACGAATGGGGCAGAGTGAAATAATCTCCAAAAATATATTTCTGGGCAATTAGAGAAGGAAATTGTTTCATTTCATCCAGAGAATTTTTCTTTTGCTTTTCCCCACACAAATCAAAAAATTAAAAATTGCAATCTGCGCGGTTTTATGGTATGATGTTTTGAATTTTTTTTTCAGTTTTGGAGTAGTTCACGGGGAACTTGTCGAAATGCAATATTTTCAACATCACGCTAGTCTCGCAAATTCCATATTGCATAGGTTGAATCCATACCTCGAATCCCTGTACACGAAATTGTAAAATAACGATAATGTATCGAATTGCCGGAAACGTCACATCACTTCTTATTACGACTAATTTCTCAAAATCACGGCGGAATCAGTAGGTAACGAATCGACGGTAATAATTCAGATGCCACATGTTTGTTAGTTGTCCATTTACTTGCTGTGTTGGAGGAAAAAATATCGGGAGAATTATTCTTCACGATAGAATCGGATTACACGCGGAGGGAAAAATCCAATAAAAATTATCCTCAGACATTTTTTTCGACGGCCGTTTTCAGCCCATATCTCGAAATTGGAGGAAGATCGTGATTTTTTCGTAAATACCTTTTTTGTAGCTCTCCTCATTCTCTATAAAAAATGTTCATGTGAAAAATGTTGCATGTTCCTTCGATTCCGAGATATCCCCCAAAAACGGGCATTAAAAAAACGAAATTGTGGTAGACCCGAAAATTTATTGAACGTTTCAGATTTTTCTCTGATATTTCTATAGAAATTCACCTAAAATAATTCTTGCTTGCGGATTACCCGAAATGGTCCACAATTTTTCTTGGATATTTCTCTCCATGTACCACTGGTTCTGGGGATGAAAAAAAAAAACAAGAAAAATAACGTAACAAAACAAAATCCTGGGATGACATTTTTTCCGTTATTTTCACTCAGAGTTTCGGGGGATCTCATAAAAAAGAGAGATGAAATAAACGACTCGTATCGTACCTTTCAACTTCACAACATATTTTTTTCATTATATATTCCGTGAGTTTTGTTTATTCTTAACAATTTTTCGTACTTCAAACCCCAACGCGTGATCACAACGGGTTAATAAAAAATAACGAGCCGTTGGAAATAGATGATAGAGGAAAAATCCCTGATGAATCGATGACTTTTTCAATCGACCAGTACGATTCTAGAATTTCTTGAAATAATTCACTATAGCGGAATGAATTAATAGAAAGTGATTACATCACATCATCCCTCGAGTCCGATATTATTATATCTCTTGACCGCCATTTGTGTTTATAAAGTAAGTGGTTGCTTTCGTGTTTCCACGCATTGAAATACTTGTACCATTTAGTTTGAATTCTAGACATTCTGCACTCGGAACCTTTCAATGCTCACGTTTTTTTTATTGTAAAAAACCAGTTGAAACAGGAAGTCCATACAAGCACTCAATCCACTGAATTCCCACGAATACGACCCCGAGAGTAAGCACTTAACGAAATATCACGGGAATGTACTCCAATTTTTATGGGGAGAAGAGAAAAAAATAGAGTCTTTAAAAAAAAAATTATTATTCCAGGAATAGACTCAAAACTTTCACCCCTCGATTTTCCTTTTTTTTTCAAATCAATTGATATATCTATTCCTGTAATTTTAGATAATACGGAATATTACTGACAGTGTAATTGATTTTTTAAATTAAATTTCAAATGATTACATTTAATTATCAATAATTAAATCTACAAAAACAGTGAAAAAAAATGAGTTACCTCAAAGATTTAAAAGGTATTAATTTGAAATTCAATTTTAGACTCAAAGAAAAAGTATTATTTTCATGATAAAGTTTCGACATTGGCAAAACATAGCCACAGCTTATTGCATTTCTCCACGAGAGATACCTCGGCGTTACTCCAGGTAACATTTCTTGTTAAACAGAAAAATATAACATCCCTTTCAGTTATACATTCAATTTTTTCTTTCACAGTTCGAGTGATGAGATTTAACAAGAATTTAAGTGCTTATGAAATAACAACAGAAGTGGAATGCTCGTTCTGGGGCTTATAGTGAATCTCAAATTTTCTTTTCCGCGTGAAGTTGCGGGTTATGCATTTCAGCGGTTTCAATCGTTAAATTACTCTAGATCTCAGAAACCCGCGGAAGCCAAATGTTTCGAAGAATAAATTGAATTGAAAAATAAAAAAATGCCCGACTGTGAAAACTCGCCGACGGAATAGATAAAAAAAAAAAATAAATAAAAAAACCCGATGATGCCAGTATTCTCGTTAAAACCCGCCGGCTAAATTCATTACCACTAAATTTCTAAAATTCGATGAACGGAATGATTTATAACGATAATAAACAATTTATATACATGCGTGAACTCCTTCCGGAAGTTGTCATTGAGCCAGGCATAGAGAAATGGATTGTAACAGGTGCTGCTCATTGCCAGGGAATGAGTTATGAAGAAGCACAACCTGTAGTACGTCCAGTGATTAGTATCGGCATAAAAGTCATCAACGACGTTGAGCATGTTGAGGGGTAGCCAACAAACTCCAAATATCGTGACCATAGCAATGAGCATCCTGTTGGTTCTTCTCTTTCTCTCTCTATCTGCCTCCTCTCTTTTGCTGGTTTTGCTTCCAGGCTTGAGCTTAGCCCGATCATTAAGCCGAATAGAAACGCAGATGTAGCAGAAAGCGATGACGCAGAATGGCACAACAAATTGTAGTATCGAGGTAAACGAGCTGAACAATTTTCGCAATCGAACACTGGGCCAATGCTCCTCGCAGTAAGTGTAGGGCTCCTCAAGAGTCATGTACAGTCCATACGGTAGGGTCAACAGCAATGCAATCACCCAAATCCCTAGGATAATGCCCAAGCACACTCTGATCGCCATTCGAGGATGGAATGGATATATTATCACCAAAAAACGATCAACCGCGATGCTCGTTAGGGTGAATGTGCTGATGTAGATGCTGACACCCTGGGCGTATGGCACTAGGTGGCACAGAGTTTGACCGAACACCCATCGACCTAGGAATGTGTATAAAGGTGTGAATGGTACTGCTAGTGCACACAGCAGTACATCGCTCAGTGCTAAATTTGTTATAAATAAATTCGTCACTGTTTGCATCTGAGTGTTTCGAGCCACTACATAACACACTAAAGCGTTACCGAACATTCCTATCAGAAATATTCCACCGTACAGCAGATAAAAAAAGCCCTGGACCCAAATGTTTGACGTTAAGTAATCTGCTGTGATGTTTTGAACTGAGTCATTAAAGAATGTTGACTCGGTAATAATTATTTCGGTATTCATCTTGACAGCTGTCTTTAAAATAGATACGTGATGAAGCTGATGCTGGTGATTAATTCCATAATTTGGGACTTGTGGGAATTTTTATTGCACTTGAGGGTCTTTTGGACATTATCGGCTCAAATTAGACTGGCGGATTTCAGCAGGTCGTCGGTTTAGTCGAATTTTTCTCGACAAATTCGTCGAAATGAATTTTAGATTCTGTTGTTTAGTCACTGCACTATCATGTAGATTTGCAGGAGTCTCAAGTCGGTGGGTCTAATTTTGTGAAGGTCTTTTCACGATTTATGGTATTATGATTCTCAAGTCATTAAGTCAAACCCACTGTGTATCAGAATAGTTATTAATAATAGTTAATAATGGTTCCTAGCTCCATTCTCTCTCGCGCGCTCGTTTTTATGAAGAAGCTTCTTTGATCTCGATTCTTTGATGTTATCAGTTTTTAGGATGGTCTGTGCATCGCTATTTCACAGTCCGAGTGTTGAGGCAATTCATATTATTCTGGAGCATCTCAATATTTACTCATAGTTCTTTCTGAAGTCTGTGATTATTTTTTATTGGAAAACAATTCAAATTTCTCAGCGAGGAAACTCGAAAAAAGTTGAAAAACTTCTTGACAAATTCCATTACCTAATGTTCACAGAGTTCTTGATAAAATTTCCCCTTCCGGAAAAACTTGTCGACTCGGTTTTCGTTTGTACTTTCAACTTTTTATAACGCTATCTCCTTCATCAGGCGTATTTTCTTAATTAATTTTCCACAATCCTACAAGTGTTCCTTTGTTTACCCAGCGGATGGAGCTCTGCAAGCACTTCTAGCTCTACCTTATGTTTCTGACGTTCAATTTAATTAGCAAAAGATAATTTTGGGAGAAAGGAATAATGATAATTCCGAGAATTGTGATTGTCTGAAAGTACTGAAACTGCACCGGACGTGGGGATAGAATCGTGTGAGCTGGATTACGGCCACCTGTTGGAGTACCTTTATGCTCGTATCTCCTCACTCCACAACATAAGGTTTTATTCAACTCAGTAACACAAGTTCACAACTTCGGAAAACAGATAAAAAGTTGATTTTTTTCTTTCAAAGTTGAAAACTAGCTTATTCAATACACTCAATCATAAAACTAGAACAAATATCATTGATATTACTATTAAAGTTTTTATTACTTTCGTAAACGCACAGGCAATCGATAAAAATGAATTTATTCTTCCTTTCGCCTCAACAATTCTTTCGTCTTCCATCACACTATTCGTATGTTTTTATTTTCTTCTCCAGCACCGACACTTCAACTTTTAACGACAAACCCGCAACAGTCCCATTAAGATTTTTTTTAATTACATTCAAATTACAAGCGTGTAATAATTTCATTAATAAATGCCACATCAAATGCGTTGAGCATTCTCTTCGTAATTCACCCGAAGAAGCGGCAAGACTTCAATTTCTCGGATTGAATTACGACGTAGCAATTACAATTTTTGATGTAAAAAATTGATCAAGTGTCGATTATTGGTGACCGGTGGTGAAACATGTTCAAATATCGCCTGGCGACTGAATCGTGACAACCATCCAGGCGACTTAGAGGACTTTGGTGGAGACTTCGCGCAAGCGTATGCGATACATCACGCCTTTACTCCACTACATAACAATAATTTAGTCCTCTGGATTTCCCCAATCCCGATAAAAATTCATCCACCTAAGAATTAAATCCAAATTTCCCCAAAATTTTCAACAATTTTCATAAATTTTTATACTTACCTATAATTATAGATTCCACTGCTTCCGTCCAGATTTTATTGTCATGAGTCAGGAAAATGTGGAGTATGCACTAGTCGAGTGGTGTAGTTCCTCTGGTTTACGTAGAACTTATAATAATACAATCATGTCATATCGGTGATTGACGTAGCCGGTAGCTCGGTAGAAACCCACGCACATTGCACAGAGGGCTGCATTGGTATTTCCATCTCGTCAAGTCAATTTCGATATTTGTAAGGAGAAAACTGGGGTTCAGCGTGCACGTAGTTATTCTCCTGAATAGCTTATTGTCTGATAGGTGAAACCAATAAGTCCAGTGGAAGCCATGTCTCGTGCCTTCCTGGGTAATATGATAATATCAGGATCGAAGGCTTATGGTATCAGAGTGCACTCGATGCTCGTTTGCAATCCAGAAGAGAACTTCGATGGTCCTCAGCGATTATTTTGCTTTATGGATAACAAATCCAATTTCTACGAGATTATTTCTATCTTGAAAGACGAGGGATAGATATAATTTATCAAAATTTGTTTTGGTCACATACTGTCAGAAAGTATTGCCTCATCTTCGTTTTGTCTCGCTCTTGTTTTCTCTTCGCAGATAAAAAAATAGAAACGGCAATTTAAGTCGAGCTACCCGGGAGAATAAAGAGAGTAAACACAAATGAGAAGTTGGGAAAGATATATTTGGGAAATGAGGTGCTACGCATGTTCGGTGGGAAGTTTTGGGAACGATGGGAAAATCTACAGCTGAAAAAATTAACGACTCGGTTGATTTTTGTTTTGGAGAGTATCCGCATCACAAATTTATTTATCTTTCGGGAGGTAGTGGAGTTCGGGTGGATGAATTCGTTTCAGTTTAGTATTTTCGAGAATTTTTCTAAAGAATTTTCTTTTTCGAAGATTGTAAAATCCAAGATTTTCGGGAAAAGTAAATACTGACAAATGAATCCCGATTATTCTGCTACTGCGCCGGGATTAACTTTAATCCAAGAGTGAAAAATAGTTAGAAGAGTGCTCTCTTAAGCTGCATAAATTTGCAAGAAAAAAAAAATTTTGTCACTACAATGTAATACGATAATGCGAGAGCTCATGAATTTTTATACAATCAATGCAGAAGCGAAAAACTCGATTTCCAGAAAAAAAAATAGAGTTTTCCGAATTTATTGCACAATTAACTGATACAAAATACACAAATCCATCGTGTCAGTCTGAAAATCTGGAGATGTCCCTTCAATTAACTTAATTGACATCTCTTCGATGGAAGTTAGAGAAAAACCTTTCATAAATGAAGCTAGAAAACTTTCACTGCGTGAAAGAAAAAAGGAGAAGCGGTTGGTGAGTTAATTGCTGTGGGTTCGCTCATTAAGCAAAGTCATTAGTGCAGGATATATGCTGTCGAGGATCAAAGGTGGAACGATTATAGGGTATTCCCCAGGGTAAGCAGAAATTATTTATTTGTATTCTGTTTTATTCTTTTTTCCAAATGTTTTCCCTCGCTCTTTGAGAAACAGTCGTCGAAAGGTATTAATTATTCAATCAATAAAAAAAAAAAAATCAGGTTGTTGGCCATCAATTTTTTAAACCTAAAAGCAAATTTCTTTTTTTTTCTTTCTATTTTTTTTTCCGTTGCAGGTATAGGATTAAATAAAAATTGAATAAAAATTGAAATATATAATTGGTATCTCGTCTTATTATTCATTTCTGTACATTTATCTTCAAATAATATAATCAAACACCTAAACTCTTCCTCTCAATATTGTAAAAGCACTATCCCGCTTACCCGACGAAAAAAAAAAATTCATTCACACTCATTTATTTATAATATTATTTATAATGCTTTGATTCTCCGTCAATTAGAAATATTTATAATCTTCGATTTCTTACAATAAAACATTGGACTATAATTGCGTATGTCTGTGCAATCGAGAATTAAGTTTAAATTGCTCGTTGATTAATCATCTCCACCCTTTACGTTCCTTACACAAAAAATATTATTTACATCATCAGTCTGACGAGTGATAATAAGGATTAAAAATGTAGAATACAACGATATACCTAAATAAAGATCACTTCGTATTAAATGAAAAAAAAAATAAAATAAATATAATACGTGCATTTATTAATTAATTGTGATGATAGTTGACGTGGGATAATTATTCGAGAGATAGATTTTCCGTTAAACACCAACTCTACACCTCATCCCACGATTTTGATTGCTATTTCCTACAGAAATAATTTTCCACAGCTATCACACCTGCGCGAGCTTCAAAATACCGAGCCAAGTGAAAATAGGAGATACTTCCAGAAAATCACAAGCTATTCGATCTGAAAAGTTCATTATTATGCAAATAGTAGAACCAATTAGTTGGCCAAGGTATCATAGGCCTTTTGTTCTCCAAAACACGTATTCTGATCACTCATTGTAGAAAGACCCAATAACAGTATAAGTAGCTGCCTATCTACAAAATGATCTTAGCACAAGATGTCAAAGGAACTTTTCCCCAGGATCTCAGAATCTCTTTTTCAGAAATCTCCATTTCTGCGCGGGCAAAATTTTTCGAAGTTATAGCCTACTCCTTGAATTTACGTCCTAAGATACCAACAGAATAATCGAGAGATCATATCTGACCTATCTCCCACTATCATTTGACTGAAAAAATCATTGTACATGTCTTTTTTTATGTGTACATCTTTGACATCTATATACAGATGAGGATACTAAAGGACTCCCACTCTTTTCATTCTCTTTCTTCTCCTCCATTTATTTTTTCACTTTCTTTGCATCTCACTAGTTTGACTTTACACTCAAGAACTTGTTCGTTCATAGTTGAAACTCCCTACTCTTCCTCTCACTCTCTCTCTCTCTCTTTCCAATAGATATACAAAGCCGATGCTATTGACCTAAATTCTACACTGGCAATAGCTCGACTAAGGCGAATGGGCTTTCTACAGACAGATACTAGAGGAAAAAAATGATGATGGACACTGAAGAAATAAAAAATAGTACATAGCTCTTTAAAACTCCTATACACCTAGATTTTCAAACAGAGTTGATGTCTTAGGCAGCGAGAGACTTGTGTCACTTTTCTATCACCATGGTATCTCATAAAAACTTAAGCTCTGGATTAAAATTTGTCATTTTTTGTTGTTTTTATCCTGTCTCGTATTATGCAGTGATTAGAGAGGAAATAGTTTTCATTACAATTTGTACTAATCAGTTGATCTTATCCAGTATTTTATGACTCCTACGTTCTTACACGTGATTAATTGATGAAAAGTTTACTGAGATTATCTGTGACACTCCAAGATGAGATCAAGGGGCTTTATTGGTTAAAACCTCAGCATTTTTAAGGTTTATGGTCGATTTTGTAGTGAATTGTAAATAGGGATGATGATTTATCTCGTGAATATGTCAGTAGCCATCCCCGAGAAAAAAAGTTCAAAACGTGAGGATTAGATTTCAAAAAAGTTCTTTTTTTAAACAATTGAAAATTACGATTGGATTGATAATTGAAAAGAACTTATCCATCTTTCTGTAAAATTTACAATTCTTTCTTCTCTGTCATTGGATTTTGAAGAGACTGCAAAAAATTTCTGTATCCTTGAAAATCCTTTGCAAAAAATGTTGTTTAATGATTTTCCAACCATCACTCATTATTGCCTTGATTAGTCAATCATGATGAACAATGCAATTTCCAGCACCACGCACTACAGAATAATTTAAATCAATTGGTAATTGTCTACTACATAAGCAGCTATACAGAAAGTATTTACTCTATTACAAAAAAAATCTCGATCAACTCCTCTAAACCCTTTATTTAAACTTTTGAAATCATCGGCAATATGTTTTGGATTCATGTCACATTTTTTTTCTGTTCAACAATCCAGTGAAGACTCTCTTGCAAATATCTCCGAACCTAACGGGTGTACAGAGACCCCCAAAGTAAAATGGTCAAAGTCGCTTCACCCTTACTTAAATTTTCGAAAAATATATTAATCGCAATTTTTAACCGCAGGCAGACAAATTCCGTTGAATATTTTAGGAAATTAAAAAAATGATAATAGCATCAATTCAATTATGAAAGGTACGAACTCTCGTTAATTACTCCAGCGTCGACTCTCGCAAAAGGAATCACAAATTCTCTCGATAACAGGCGAGCACTAGACACCAAAAATAACGATAAATTTTGCGACAAGAATCATTAACAAATTGTCACGCTCTGGCAATAATCAATGTTGTTCACTCAATCACTTCTCTAATTTCCCATTATTCTTAATTGAATTTACTAAGTACCTTTTCGCACAGTTCATTTGTCTGTGTCGTTTGGGTTTCAAGATATTTTTCGAAAATTAATGGTCGAGTAAACTTCAGAGAGATAGCTTAATCTACTTTCTGAGTATCCGGAGACCTTCAGTAAGAATCCGTAAAATTGCGCGCAGAAATTCTCACTTTCAAAAATATTTCCCAAGACAAACTGTTCATTCAGGACTCACCTCTCTCCATTGACCACTTCACTACTAAATTCCAATAACACTGAGATGAATACTCGACTAAATGGACAGAGTCTCTTTAATGAGTTTTTTCATAGTATTCCCCATAGTCGTGCTAGATGGTCCTGACGTTGTGAATGATAGTTTAAATAGATAAGGTTGAATATCTGGATACGACGTATCAAAGATGAGATCCAGCTCTGCTTGGTTCGGCATTTTCGGTAGATAATCGTGACGATTCATAACTTCAGTTATATACAAAATTTTGTCAGTTAACAAATCTCCGACTTTCTCCCTGCAAATCTGTCGTTCATGTTCAGTCGCTAGTTTTATTAACTCAAGACGTACTGTCCACACTTCCCAGGGTATACACTCTGGCTGAAAGGGCCAACGATTTTTCTTCTTTTGAAAAAACTCAAGGGATATTTGACCTGAGCCTGGACTATCTGTGGATCTCAATGCCTCGGAGAATCCAGAGATCTCTCGTTTCAGAGTCTGATCGAGATGAATTGATGAACAGCACACGTAAGTGAAGTCAATGAAATCACAGTCAACGTCCTGATAGCCAACAGTGCCAACTGAGTAGCTGCCCTCATGTTTGTACTTGAATTTTCCTAAGCTCCGGTGGAAGAGAACACTGTGGAATATGGAGGCTACTGCCTCGTCAACCTGACGACCCTCCATGCTCAGCTCGAACAGCTGAGTTCTTGCATTCATTTTTGGTCACCTCAATTCCTATCAAATATCACCAGAGTTCATTGAATTTCATTCAATTCTCGAAAACTATTAAAGTCCTAATGTTAACCTCAAAACCCCAAACAAATAATAGATCAAGACCTCATCACTAAGACGCTTACTCATTGCAAAAATAGCAGAGTCGTGCATACAAGTTGAATTCTGTCTCAACTTAGATGACGTCACTGCCAAAGCCTCGATGATTTTCGGAGTAAGGTATATTTTTCATCGTCATACGGTCTGGAAAACCGAAGGCCACCAGGCCCTTACAAAAATACACAAACATGTGAGAATGAAAACAAACCCACGCTCACATCAAAACAAAAACTACTTCACCAATCTTCTTATTTACATAACAAGGTGTAACTAGAAAACTCAGTGAAATGATCGTCGTGGAATTTTTCTTTGGGGTAATGACGTAGCAGTAATTGAATGATTTTGGTGATTTTTATTCGTCTCACCTCAGTGTCCTTTCGATCGTTGGTCAATGACTGCGATGAGAAAATGTATCATGTGTTGGCCTCCTCTCAACAAGTGAGAAACACGGCTTCAGGTCAATTTCCTTGGTCACTCATAACTGGCACGTTTTCAATCATTTTTTCCCTGCCATCGATTGCTCGTGCTTATTATTATTCTTTTTTTTTTACTCTCCTCAGCTTGCTCGACCAATCAATTCCCAACACTGTTTTTAGTTGCGTTTGTGTTGACTTTTACGGAGATACGACACCATTATGCATTCGTCGATGGGTTTTTTCATCTTTTGTGTATGTTTCGGTGTCGAGGGGCACAGTGGACTTTTTTTTTAGGGGGGTATGTTTGCACTTTGTTTCACGATGGAATCATTCGTGCTGGGAAATCTTTGAACCCACCAATCCAGAACAGAGTTTCTTTGACACGCATTTGTCGGTAAACAACAGCTGTGCGCGGACATTCATGCACCATTTTCGTGCTGGGAACGTGATGGATAGAGTTGCTTGAGCAATGGAAAAAACGGAGGAGAGTAAGGTATGATACAAGCAGGTATTGTCAAGCCAGAAGCAGGGGACAAGTTCTCTCAGGCAGCACGAGACAGCGCGGCGGTCACTATCACCTTCCCCTCATC